CAAACCCAAACCCTAGACTCATTAGAGTGAGGCTTGACTCATTAAGCCCTTAAATTCTCAAAACAAAGTCCCAAAATGCAGATCTAGCATCCAAAGGCTGGAAAATTGCGTAAAGTTTCCAAATTTACGCCCATGCATGCTAAAAGAAACCCTAGGGCTCAATATGGGTTTAATAAAGGACTTATTTCATAAATGGGACCTAGGACCTAATAAAGTTTGCAACTTTAAGTGAAATGAGGCCATAAAATGAATAGATCTAACATGACAACCCCTAGAACATTCAACTTCTTGGATAACTCAACCATGAGCCCAAAATCAAGATAAAACCCCAAAACAAAGACATCTAAACAATAACAAAGCAAGGTATAAACTTGATACCTCCAAATGATTGAAATGAGTTGGGAGATTCTGGATCTAAGTCTTCCCTCCAAGCTTTGCACCTTCAACTTCAAAGATTCTCCAAAAGTGTGCAAAATAACAACACTTAAGGCCCTCCACAAGCTTACACACTCACAAGGACGATGATACACGCTTTTAAGGTTTTATGGGCATAGGAGGTTGGTAAGGAGGCCAACCAAGAGACTTAAGGCCTTTAAATAAGGTGCAACACTCTAAAAATTAGAATTTCCTTCCCAGCCGCCAACTCGCCAAATTGGTTCATTAATTCATGCGGCCAAAGTCCAATCAACACATCGAGTTGAAGCTTTCAACTCGCCTATTCCAACAGGAAAAATCAACAATTTAGGGGAATAAATTCATACTAGAACCAAGCGTTACAACATACCCGAACTTGACGTTACAATTTTAATATGATTTTTATAATTTTTTTGTAAATATATAATTTAATTAAATATTATAAAAACTAAAGAAAAAAATACCAATTTTTAGCTATTGGCAAATCAGAGAATGAGAGAGAGTGCAGTGAAGTGGAACCGTGTGAGGCTTAACCTCCCCAAGGGTGTCTTTTCCTACCAACTCAGCTTCAAGCACAGTTCAGTTTCTTGTGCTTTATCCGGCCTTAGAAACAGAAAGTCAAAGGTTCCATTTGTAACATTTGTTACAGGTTGTTGATATATTGTGGGAGCAATTTTTTTAGACTATCTCATTTTTACTAAGGTTATCGCCAATGCATTAAGCTCATATGAATTCAAGAGATTAACACATACATTTTACTCGCTATACAACTTTACTTATTAAACTTTACACTCCATTAAATTTTATACAATTTAACAGATTGTCGCATCATTTATCATTTTCTTTTAATTTATTGTTATTTTTTAAATAATTAATTAGCATGAACGTAAAAATTAAAAATTACAGTTAAAATTAGCATTAATTAAAAAATAGAAATTACAAATATGAAATAAAATTTAATTTTTGTGTGTGTATATATATATATATATATATATATATATATATATATATATATATATATATATATATATATATATATATATATATATATATATGTGTGTGTGTATGTTTGTGTTGTGTGTGTGTTTAGAGTTCAATGGGGATTTAAGCTCTTTTCTATTGAATCCTTGTGATTATCAGACAATAGGCATATTAAGTTTATGAGATTAAACTCTTCATTAAAACTTTCAATAGAGATGACGTAACAAACCTCAAAGAGCCTCTATTTTTACGAATATTATTCTAAACATCCTGTTTTTCACAAAGAACCAATTCAAACTCGTCCATTTTTAACCCGTACCAAAATAATTAAACATATATAAAATTTAGAATAAATTACACGAATAGTCCCTATGGTTTAGGGTAATTTGCACGTTTGATCCCTAATTTATTTTTTTAACTCGAAAAGTCCTTACTATTTGTTTTTTTTACGCGTTTGGTCCTTGTATTACTTAAAAAGACTATTACTTAAATAGGAAAAATGATAGGTATGTAAGGTAAGGTGATAGGGGTGGGGTTGGGGTGTATTTATTTAAATAAATTAAAAAATCAATGGTAAAATAGTTTTTTAGGTAAGTCAGGGACCAAACACGTAACAAAAGCAAACAGTATGGACCTTCCGATTTAGAAAAATAATTTATGGATCAAACACGCAAATCACTCTAAACCATAGGTACCATTCGTGTAATTTACTCTAAAATTTAAAATTTTATTATGTTTTGAGAAAGTCTCGTCTTCTATAAATGGACGAACACCCGTTGCCCTTCTTCCAAAGTTCCTTCCTCATAAAACTCACTTCATTCACTAATATAATGGAGTTCCTCCGCTTCTTATCCTTTCTTTCTGTGAGTATTCATTCACCTCTGTTATGTTACCTTGTTAAATTTGTTTCTGAAACACGTACAACCATGCATGCATGCAGTGTACGAGTATATCGATTGCATGCACACGTTCTAAACATATATAATTATACCTATTTTATTTAATTAACATTTTCATTTGTATATATATTTTGCTCAGTTGGCAATGGTTGTAACCCATGCAGCTGTAGCTCCTGAAACATACTGGAAATCTGAGTTGCCAAACACTCCTATGCCCAAAGCCTTCACCGATCTCCTTAACGACGGTTGGTAATTCAGTTCATACATAAAATATTTCATTTTCTCATGCTTAAATTATATCTAAATTAACATGCATTTTTGCTATTATATATCTTCTTCCTCTATGATCATCGGAAGATAAGAGCACCGATGTCCAGGTAGGCGTTGGCAAAGGCGGCGTATCTGTCCATGCCCCTGGCACAAACGTTGGTGTCGGAAAAGGCGGCGTATCCGTCCATGCCCCTGGTACAAACGTCGGCGTCGGCAAAGGCGGCGTATCTGTTCATGCCCCTGGCACCACCGTCGGCGTCGGTAAAGGTGGTGATGTATCCGTTCATGCACCAAAACCGAAACCAAAATCAAAACCAGAAGGGGACTGTGAGAAGGTGTACGTCGGAAAAGGAGGTGTAGTCGTTCGCTGTCACCACAAAGGCAAACCTACAAACGTACACGTGTCACCGTTTTCCTACAAGTATGCTGCTAACGATGATCAACTAAAAGACGATCCAAATGTCGCTCTTTTCTTCCTCCAAAAGGATTTGCATCGAGGCAACTCCATGAACTTACATTTCACCAAAACATCCACTCAATCTTCAAATTTCTTGCCTCGTAAAGTCGCAGACACGATACCCTTTTCATCGGAAAAGCTCCCGGAGCTGTACACCCGTTTCGCCGTCAAACCTGACACCGTAGAGTCCGAATCAATGAAGAAGACGATCACCGAGTGTGAGGAAAAGCCCATGGAAGGTGAGAAGAAGCTCTGTGCTACTTCATTAGAGGCCATGGTCGACTTCAGCACATCGGAGTTGGGGAAAAACGTTAAGGCGATATCAACAGAGGTAAACTCTGATAAAAAACGTACTACTCCGTTGAAGTACACCATCGAAGGAGCGAAGAAAGTGACAGCTGCTACTCGAGCGGTGGTTTGCCACAAACAGAGCTACCCGTATGCGGTTTTCTATTGTCACAAAACCACCACCACGGAGGCGTATGTGGTGTCTCTGGTCGGAGAAGATGGTACAAAAGGTAAAGCAGTTGCTGTGTGTCATACAGACACTGCAAAATGGAACCCTAAGCATCTGGCGTTTAGGGTTTTGAAAGTGAAACCGGGGACTACTCCGGTTTGTCATTTCCTACCTGAAGATCATGTCGTTTGGGTACCTTACTGATGACATGACATATACGGTGATATAAAGATAGAATAATGCCCTTTTTGTATGATTGGTATTTTAGGGCTTGTAATTTACATTAGATCATATACCATTGATACGTATACTATCATTATGAGATTGTTTATGATCATATATATCTTTGTATTTGTTTTATGGGTGTTTATAATGTTATATAAATTAATAAGAGTATTATATGTTTGATGATCGGTGTAGTTATATTCATATTTCTGAATTTGTTAGATTATAGATTCGGTTAATTTCAAACATTTGCTTACTCCGATGATCAATTAATTAATTATAACTGGGTACGTAGGCAATAATTATAACCAAAAATTTCATCACAAAATAGTTAATTTGTTTATGAGGACAATTTTTCCTCGTGAAATTAAATTGTTCACGAAACAGTTGCATAAGCTCCATCGCAAAAATGCTATATATTATCATATCCTAGGTGGAAAACTTTTCGTGTGGAAAACAGAAATGCCTAAAAATTAATATTTCATTACAAATTAATTATATAATAATATCAGGATTTGGTTAGATGGGTACATTATATTATCTAATTGTAACCTGTAAATCATAAAATCTCTAACACAAGATCATATAGATGTGGTTGAAGTGAGTTAAAATAGAAGTCTCCTAAGAGCATCCATAATAAGTTTTTTTTTCTTGCCACATAGCACTAATTCAATAACCCAAAAACCTCAAATTACCTTCCACTATATGTAGTAAAGTTTTTTTCACAAAGGGTATTAAGACTCGTAACAAAATGAAAAACCTATGTAATTTAATAAACATTGCTATACCTTATTATGAAAAAACTTAATATATAGAGCTTTTCAATTGACAATGAAGTTAAAAACTATTTTGTGAAAAAATCTCACTACAGTTTGATTGACCTAGAGGAACCATTCAGAACAAATCCAACCTCTAAACGGCTATCTAATCATACCTTATCAAATAGCCCTTTAAAGTTTCAAGAGCTTAATTATATGACCCAAATATACTAAACAATAAAGCTCCTACTTTGAATGCTCTAATTTTACGAAACCGTCTTCAATAACTATTATGAATAATAATGATTATATCATTTTCTGAATAAAAACAATGAATATGGTTTTACCTATTTTACCCCTAAAACTTGTACTTTATACGTTTAGTTGACAATGACCAAAATAGACCATTTCAGAAAGTTCTTTTCGGCCCTACATGACTAAATTTCAAGTCCTCTTTTCAAATTACACTAAAATTATGCCAAAAGAGCTCATTTGAGTTCTTACAAGCTTAGAACTTTTAGTAGCTCACAAAATGGCATTGTCTTTTGAGTTCTTACTTACATATGTTTTAAAAAAAAAATTCAAAGCTCTTATATTTCTTTCCCACCAAAGTTTTTAAAAACCAACAATGGCAACATTCCCTTACATTAATTATCGTTTCTTTAATTGTTTATCTTATACAGCTTCCTACACCCAAATTACATTATCTTACACTACTGACTACCCCAATTGGTTGATTCTTTTCTGCATGCAGCATGATCATGATCTCCATCTTTCTCACAATAAAAGGTATTTGTAAAAAAAATCTTGTAAATAAACTTGTCATGTCCTGTGAAAAAAACTTAATTTTTTGGAAGGAAAAAAAAAAAATGTTAAGTTCCTCATATTTAACAAACCATTAATGGTTCTAAAGATCCCCATGTTCTTCCACACTTCAATTTCACCATCAATGGAACTGAAACAAATTAACATCAACCACATTAATCAAAAGAAAACTAACATATTTACCAAAATAATAATAATAATAATAATCTAGGGTTTCAGGGGACCCACCTAGAAGTGAGGCAGCGTTTTCCATGCTCAACTTTAGCAGCAATCCAGCTTCATTCACAACAGATGGATCAGCTTCCATTATTAATTCATCATGTACCTGAAGAGCATTAAAGATTACAAAATGTCCAACATATATATACCCTTCAGCCATCTTTTCTTTCAATATAATAATTTAACTTTTATGAAAATATGATGAAGTATAACAATCTTAGAATTTGACCTGCAGAAGGATTCTACAACGACCCTTAAGCATATGGAATCTTTCAGCAAATTGGATGCTATTGCTAGGTGTTGACTTGTCAACACCTTCACCTTCACCTATCACAGCATGTATAGTTATCATTGCAACTTTTATTATATCAGCTGCAGATCCCTACAAAAACATCAACAGTTTATAAATTAATATAAATTACTAAAATGAAGAAAATAAAATATTGTACCTGACAAATGGAATTCACAGCCTGTCTCTGAGCTTTTGATTTTTCTTCACTGTTTCCAAACTTAATTTTCGCCAAAAACCGCTTCCTTCCCATCAAAGTTTCCACATAACTATACAACAAACACCAATAACATATATAAAATTAGTAAGTCAATAAGTAAATAATAAATTATTGATTATATCTTACCCTTTTTTATGGCAGATTGCAACAGCTTCTTTAAGCCAAGAAGCAACACCAGGGAAAGATCTTTTGAAACTCTGAATTTTGTCTCTAGCATCATCTGGACTGCATTCCAGCTGTTCAGCAAGTGAATTTGCACCCATTCCATATAAAATCCCATAAATCAATCTTTTTGTTTGATCTCGCTCTTTGGGACCCACTAAAGACTCTTCTTTTCCTGACCATTTTGCAGTGATAATGTTGAACACATCACCAAGAGGCTTTGTCAGAAGATCAATCAGTGATTGGTCTTTAGAAAAATGGGCCATTAATCTCAGTTCTATCTGAGAATAATCTGCAGTTACTAATAACCAGTTTTCCTGCATGAAAAAATATATTATATTTTATACATTAACGAATTGAATATAATTATCAGAACAAAATAAATACTGACCTGAGTTGGAATGAAGAAATCACGAGGATTTACTTTGTAGAGTTCCATGTCTGAATCATCGCCTTCTTTTTCATTGCTATCTATCTTGAATTCAACCATATGCTCGACACACTAGAAGAAATATTTATAAGAAAAACAAAAAAGAAAAAGTAAATAAATAAGAAGAAGAGAAGATACTGCGGGGCCCACCTGAAGATTGGGATCCTCCATGGATAACCTTCCTGTTGCTGTTGAAGTTTGGAGCCAATGTCCATGAAGTGTATATCTTTGAGTCTTCATAGATAACTTAGAAAGTGAACAAATGGAACCCAATGTACAGTTTAAAAGCTTGGCTAATGTCCGATGTTCTTTAATAACAGGAACAATAGGATGCTCAAACCTTAAAACCAAAGTAACAAACAAATAATCATCATCTCTTTATTTAATAAGTTGTTACGCTAAAAAAAATTTAAAAATGTACCTTAATAATTCTAAACAATGTTTGTCAGTACTGGGGTGTTGTTTCCCTTTATACCCTTCCCGAACTGGCAGCTTTAACCGGTTGTACAACACATCTGCAATATCTGCTGACGTGTACAAAGAAAACCTCGTACCCGCCAATTTGTAAGCTTCATTTTCAAGAGATCTCAGTTTTTTACCAATCACAAGACGCGATTGTATACACCCCTCCATGTCGACACCTATTCCGGAAACTTCCATATCAGAAAGAACATTCACTAATGGCATCTCGATCGTTACTAATGGTTCTAGAAGCTTCTCGGATGTTAGTAGCTTCAAGAGAACCGATGACAAAGCTCGTGTTTGAGCTGCGCGCTTACAGCAACCGTTGTGCGCAGCTCTTCGCATCTGATTTTTCCACCGACCGTTTTGATTTGCGGATGCTGCCACCTCACTAGATAACCTTTTTTTCACTTCTTTTTCCAAATTAGGGTTTGAGCTTCTTTCTTCATCGGGCCAAAGAATCCAGACTACAACACATAAGTCGATAGCATCTTTTACATGAACTGGAGAGAACATATAGTGGCTTCCATTAACGAGCTCCAAAGTTTTCTTTGACTGAATCATGCTCCCGAATTTCTGAATTGAAACAGCGGGTAACTTCAACACCTGATTTTGAATTTTCAAATTCCATGTGATTTTTCGGACTTGTGTTTTTCCCATTATCATACCAACTCTACTCCATCTTTGCTTTGCCATCTCAAGCTCACCTTCTGGAGATGAAATATTATTAGGGTTTTTGTTTCTCTTTGTGTTGGATGAAAATAAATCCTTGGGAACATTGATATAGTAAACAGGAGAATCTTCCCAGCAGATTGCGAATCCAAGTAATTCAAAAGGAGCAATCGAGTGGAACTCAGATCTTTTTGTGAAGTGAATGTCAAAAAAGAATTCATTTGTGGAGTCCCACATATCCAAGAAAGAATCAAATCCACCATGAATGTTAACAGCACTCATGGGACCTTTTTCCGTATTACCAACACCTACATCTGCTCTCTCATGCTCTTTTTGAGTAGAAATAACTTCATTTGCACTTGATTTACTTAAGGTGGTATCATCCGAGTTTTCTTCGGTTTTTAACTTGGTATTATGTTGGGAATCACTTTCTTTAACAGAAGGTGTTGTTGATTTGGGTAGAGAAAAGTGAGGAACATCAACTCCAAGAGCTTTAAAAGCTGAAAAGGCAGCATCCCTTGCTTCTTCAGCTTTTTCCAGGATAATCTTTCGTGCACCATTCTTTATCTTTTTAGCGACTCCCAATTGAATACGCCTTTGTAATGAGTTATCTGTTTTAAACAGGAAATGCAATAATGTATTGTCAGAAAACAAAAACAAGTATAGACTATATAGATCATAGATGATAACTTGAACTTGTTAGTAGTACATTCACATTGAAAACTTTACCTTGTGCATCCCATGATGAAGATTCAAAAACTGCTTTTGCAATTTCAGGAATGGATGCTTCAGCAATTGCTTGGGTAGTACGCAAGCCAGATTTGTAAAGTGCCCTAGCTCTACAACCCTACAAACATTCATACAATCATGAATGTAAAGAGGTTAATTTCAAATCAAATTTAGAAAACTAATAGGAATCTACATCAAACCTTGACAAATGGAATGGTGGTAAGCTCAGCAATCTCAGCTCTTACACCAAATGAAACACGGTTTTGGAACTTGGAAACCAGGGACTCAAGATCATGCCAACCGAGTCTTTCACAAAAGACTGAAACCATAGATGCAAACCTTCCAGCATTTTCTTGTAAAGATTGAACCATTCCACGTGCCACCTTAAAAGCTTCACAAACCTCTGTCACAGGTGCTTCCTTCATATTCATCCACAAACAGTGCAAAAAAGATGAGTATTAAAGAAACAGACTGGAGATTGTGTTGAGAAGATGATTAGCAACCTGTACAAGTCTTGAGAGGATGAGTGCAACATAGAATCTCTTAGAGACACGAAGCATTTGATCATCTGTAAGGGTGTTATTGGTTGAAACACCAAGTCCTTTTATATCACGCCTTGATCTATCTGAAGTGCGAGTTGGAGCTCCATGAGCCATTCGCATCAAAAACGGTTCTTTCACTCCAACACGATTACCAACAGACTGCAATTCATCAATGGAAAAAGAAAGAGTTCAAGTGTAATGAAACCTCGTATTGATCAATCTCATAAAATGAAACCCACAAACACATTTAGAAATCATGAACTTTAAAGCATTGATACTGCATGCTTGTAAATGTACAAGTATAAATAGAGACTGAAACATACATCACAAACTATTACTTTCAATTATTGTTGAATTGGAAGTAAACTTACTTGATCTAGTGCAGGTAATTGCATGAATCTTTCATAGTACAATTCCCAATCTGGCTCAACATCAACATTAGTTGGTGTTACCAAGTAAACCAAATGCAAGTCTGATGCAAGAACAAATCCTTCTCTTGCCCTTGAAAGGTCATCCAGCACAATCTACAAACAATGTATTTAAAGTATTAGAAAGAGAAAGAAAATCCAAGGAACCAAATAGCTATACCACTAAACATAAGTGAGAATTAAATAAAAGAAATAAATTGTCAAAAGACTTACAAGTGACTCCTCAGGACAAAGAGAGCTTCCAAAACAAGCATGGCCAAGAGGTGTGGTACTATATAACTTGGTATCTTCACTCCACTCAAGAAACTTCCTATGACACAGCCACATGAGAGAATCTTTTGCTGATTTTACAACGTCTTCAAATGGTTGTGTTGAATTCAGAAGAGTGCATCTAACGTATCGATGGATATCATTAGCAGTTTGAACAATTCCACCAGCAACAACTTCTAAGATTGCATGCGTCATTCCATTCTTATCTTCTGACAAACAAGAATGCAATGGTGGACATGAGTCACCAATGAGTGCCACAATTCTTTTCACTTCTTCAGGCTTGCATATTAGCACCTATGTTCACATTCACAAACACTCAAGTAATTTATCATAAACTGAAAAAGATTCCATCCTACATACAAAACAAGAATATACATACACTTTCTCCTTTTGTATCAATTCCGGTGCGACCCGCCCGCCCAGACATTTGTCTGTATCTTGTCCCATCTAAAAAATCACGACCAATACGAGGTTGTCTGAAGATAACTCTTCTTGCAGGAAGATTCACTCCAGCTGCTAATGTTGATGTGGCAGTTAACACACGTACTAGACCTTTACGATAGCAGTTTTCAACAATTTCTCTTTCTTCAATCTGTAAGTAATAATCAGAAATGAAATTTCTCAAAAGCTTCAAATTTCAACTTGTATGAACGTATGAAACTGACAATTGCTGAATGAAAAGTTAAAGAGTGTATTTGTGGGGAATGATAGTGATAGTATACATACTGTAAGACCAGCATGGTGATAGGCAACACCTGAAGAAAGTGTTTCAGATAACACAGGATCTAATCCAGCTGGAGATTTTTTCAATGCATCAATGGCAGAAGCAATATCAGGATATTCACTTTCACCATTGAAGGTGTTGAAAGGGAATTGCTTAAGGTACTTTGCAACATGTCTAGCAGTTGACTCACATCCTTTACGACTTGAACAAAAGATCAACACTGAATGACCCTCTTGGACAACCTAAATACAATATGCAATGTATAAAGTATAAACATTCAGTTCAGGTTCATAACTTATAAGAATTTATATATATCAAACAATGTACCTCATTGCATAATTCTATGATATGATCAGGATCTTTACCACCAAGATCAGATCTTTTTGAGATTGTTTTGACAAGATCCATCTTTTTGTTATAAATTGAGTTTCCAACTTTGATATACTCCTCAAGTGGAACAGGTCGGAAATCTGTCTGGTATAAAGCTGCCTGAAGCCAATCAGCAACTGCATTGACATTAGGTAAAGTGGCACTCATTCCAACAATTTGAAGACCATGAGTGGGGTCACTTTTCCCACTGCTTGACCCTGAACTTTCTCCACTTGAAAACTCCACCCTGCCTTCACCAGCTCCATACCTAAGCTTTGTCAACATAAGTTCCAACAGATACCCCCTGTGCTGATCTCCAACCTGCCAGACAACATGATTAAAAGAATATATTTTTTGCATCATAATGTTCAAAGATAACAAATTCAAAGTACCATGTGAAGTTCATCAATTACTATGATCCCAACTTCTGACAAACGCCCCTCTTCCAGCAATCTATTGAGTAGTGAATTTGCCTTCTCAATTGTGCAAACAGCAACAGATGTATCTTTAGGAAGTGTTCCACCACCTTGGCTTCCATAGTAACTGCGAACATGCTTGCCAAGTGGTTCCAGTAAGGCTTCAAGATGTTCTGCCTGCATCACTTACATACAAATAATGAACTTCAAGAACATAAATACAATTTCTGAACAAAATAAGATGCAGAAACACTCAGACCTTCTCTGTACAAATTGACACATAAGGAAGAACAAGAATTGCCACTTTTCTTGTTGACAACACTCTACGTAACATCAGGATTTCTGCAACGAAACTTTTCCCAGCACTATGCCAGAAAAGACAAATGGTTATGAAAAAGTGATTAAGTAGAAAAGATTTAGCATAAATCTTAAGATAATAAGTACCTTGTAGATGCACAATACACAAGGTTCCTTTTTTGTAACACCCCATCCACCTGTAGGCAGTCCACCTGGAAAACGAAAACTCAATTAAACATTGAATTAAAAGTAAAAGAAACTAGAAAAAATACAGATAGTCAAAAGGGGTAGAAAAGTAAAAGTACCTGCCATGGATACAATTTTGATATTCCCCGTTTCTTATATGTTATGCATAACTCAGAAGGGAGCCAATTGCTAATATCCAAACGATCATTGGGAGGCATGGAACTTGATGGGGTACTTTCCACACTGTTAAGAAAGTTTAAATTACAAGTTTTGATGTCTGTAGATGGTGTATCAGATGTTTTATCATCATTAGGTTGATTCAATACTTCAGCTCTCCTTTTGGTAATTACACAACTCGAAGTTGTTGTCTCTTGCAATTTAGACAAAGATTGAATTTGGTTGCAAGAGGTAGTGCTCATATCCATGGTTGTTATTAGGTTCTTATCAGCTATACAACACTCAACAAGTCTGTCCATATTTTTTACAATGCCATGGCTTGAAGTATCCACAGCCATATTTTTGTCTTCAGAAGAAAAATCAAAATGTTTCACGGGTAATGGGGACACCTCTTTGTCCATAGAATTACCATTCTGTCCTTTAGATTCTTCAACAGCTTGTTCAGGAAGACCTTTTTTATTATGATATGACATATCATCAGCCACCTGGATTGCCTCTCTCCAGAATGTGTCTCCTGGTGAAAAGATGGAGCTTCCACGCATTGACTGAGGAGTTTTTTCAGCTCCAACTTTGACTTCTGCCAGGTTTGGTGTATTGCATGATTTCACATCAACAGATTCTATAGATGTTTTATTGCATTTTCTCAAGCTAAATTGATGCACTGGATTGGGTTGATTCTCATTATAACCAAGAGTTTCACCCTCCTCATGACTTAAATGTCTCTTCTTAATCGATTTATCTTCCAAATCTAGCATACATGGATTACCCTGCCTTTTATTTGTATTAACTTTTGTGGTTGGAAGTTCACTGCATCAGTAAAAGATTAGAATGAAACACTTGATGATAAAACTCATTGCAAAACCAATAGACAGAAACATTTATATAATAGATCTTTTGACAGTTAAAGAGTGTGAATACACCAGAAGTAACTTACTTACCTACAATAAAATGACAAAAAATTAGCTGCAAACTGTTGTAATTCGGGGTTCTCCACCTCATGCATAGATTCTGAAGACTTAGAGTTATGCCCTTTGCTAGATGATATAGTTTCCACATCTTCATTTCTTAAAGAAGAATCAATCTCTGATGTAAGGTTTCTTTTCACTTGATCTTGTCTATCAGATGACCCACAAGCTGTGGGTAAAGTCCTATGAGGGCGAATTTCATTTTTTGGTGAAGACACTAGATAGCTGGATAAAGAGCCTTTACCACTAGGAGACCCTTCAAGTGAGAGTTTTGCATTTTGTTCAACTATTCCCGATTTTAAAGCAGGTGAAACAAGCTTGTTGTTCTTCTTCTTTGAAGAAAAGAACTGCACATAGTAATCATGTCAGCAAAATATGCCAAATTTTGGATGTTTGGAAATACAAAGCAAAGAGTATTCTTCCATACAAACAAAAATTGAAAAGCAGACAGATTGAATAAGATACCTCTCAATCATACTCAGAGCCCGATATACATAACTTATAAAAGAAGATGCACCAACAGGACGTGTAAGTGTGTAATGTTTCTTGTATTGATATGGAAATTTTTTACAGCATCCACCAATAGTATGAATGTGTATAAAATGTAGAGTACTTGGAAAACACTGTGTGTTCATAAGGTGGAACAAAAAGAGTCCAACATACTGCACACTTCAGTGTTGATCAACGAAACTGGGCATCTTTAAATTGAATACCAAACCTTTTAAAATCTTGGGATTGGGAAAAGAGAAATACCAATTACCAAGAAACCGGATTTTTCTTTTGTTTTTATTAAAATCTAATTGATACTGCAAGTGCTTATAAATACCACCCTCATTTGGCATAAATACTAAGAACTGTTACATTCTGTTTGTACTAAAGTTCAACAAGCGTTTTTATGGTTTTATAAAACAGGAAAGAACCATGGTCTATATACCCATCTGCTGATATGAACTGATGTGCTGCGGTTTGGAGATTCATGTTGCATTGCAAAGACAACTTCAAATTGATAAAGCATATAAAGTTTAAATTGGTTCATCATCCACTAAGGAAGAGCAAGGAAAATAAGAACAAATAATCGTCGCTGATATTATCAAGATTGGATTAAACAAGTCCAGTCTCCTAAAAAGGTACGAATTCTTTAGCTATTGAAATTTAAAATATCCTAAAGATTTGTTCTCAGAAATAACCTAGCTGCAGCGGATGTTAATTGTCGTCAGTGTGGTTGACTGCATAAAATATTTTCATAAAGAAGATGGGGAGAGGTTGGGGGAGAACGATTAAGACGAACCTGATCAACGCGGGAGCGTGAGGAACCACCTGACGCCATTTTACAAGATTTTTCAGAGAATTTGATGCGATTGAACCCTAGTTCATTTATAGGTCGTCCTATAACGGTTCATACTTCATAGGATTCATTTGAATCTCAAATGAAGACCGCGAATTCTTGCAATGCTCATAGAGTCATAAAGGGATTATTTGAAAAAAACAGTAAATAGGTAGTGTGGACTGTAGAGTCTTTGTTACCTATTTAAATTGAATTGATTATAATAGATTTTAGTTTTTCTTATTAAATTATTATATTTTCAAACAAAGATATTCACAAAATAACCAAATAATTATTGACCAATTAAGTTAATAAGCTAACTTTTCCAAATTTACCAAAATAATCATTTATGTACTTTTTAAAATATTGTATTTGTTTATCTAATTTCGTTTTAAAATATCTTATAAATTGTTGAGATTTGATATAAAGAGTTTTATGACATTTCGAAATACCTTAATATGGTGTCTACATTACAAACCTATTTTATGATACCATATTCTAAAAAGTCTTAAATAAATAATTTGAAATCTGAAACTTTAATAACATAAACGGGATTAGATATTCTAAGATACGAAAATAATGCTTCAAAATTATTTTTTGAAGCATTACATACAAATAAACATATCTAATGTTTTTTGAAGAAAATATTAAAAAATTATCGTTATTGTTTTATACAAGTGTTTGGTGCAAATTAAATAAAATTACAAGTTATATAATTTGTAATTCGAAATGGTCTCTTTTTGGAGTCGAAGGTCATTTTAGTAACTTCCGAAAAGTTGGATTATTAGCTTAAATGGTTGATAATTATGTGGTTATCATAATTAATATTTTTTTTAATACGAGCAGTAAATCACATCACTAATAATATACCAATATGATGGTTAAATTTAAACAAATAGTGGCCATAAAAACCATAAACGGCGTAGTAGATTTATGGATCTTTTTTTTAGTTTCGTTTTTTTAACAAACCATATATCAAATATTTATTTTTCTTTATCAAATTGCATTTGCAAATAATAAACTTAGCCTTTTATATAGATACACTTTTAAGGCATATAAATAGAAACTTTAGAGTTTCAATTGCTTTTAAACTCATATTTTATAAATTTCAAGTTTTAAACTATGTTTAAACGGTCCATTGAGCAACTTTTGCTACAAGTAAATGTAATTATCATTCATGAATTGACAATAGTGACAACCAATCTTAACCCATGATAATTCAAATAAAAAAATGTCATGGTTTAATTAATGTTTTTACAATAAAGGTAATTTTGTATTTATCTATTCTACGTGAATTACTATGATTTAATGTTTATTGAATTATTTTAAATACTGATACATGTAAATGAAGATATTTTGAAGATTGACATGAATCAATAGACCATTTTCAAAAACATGACCTCGTATAAGATGATGATATAGAGATTTAATGATTTATTACCAAAGTAGCTTAGGCCCTTATATACTTGTCTTTTGTGTTTGTGTCTTTATTGCAATAATTTCCATCTATTTCCATACTAAAACCGAAATGTATCAAAGTTTATGGTTTATTCTATACAGAAAATATTAATATGGACAGTTTTAAATATAAATTTCCTAAAAGTTTTAACTTTATATTCGTGATTCACATATGAATAACCATTGTGTACATCAAAAAATCATTGGATATTATAAATTTATTATACACAGTGAACATCAGAGATTAAACATCATGATGATAATTATTAGATATCAACAACAAAAACTCACATCTAACAAGATAACATGTGGTTGTTGACAATGCACATTTGTATTTTTAGATGAAGTACACAGACCGTTCACATGTCAATGACTCAATAACCAACCAAAAGTAACGATTTGATATTGTAAGTTTGTTGTACACAACAGTCATTTACATGTGAATATTGAATTTCAATGGTTGGCATGTTAATTGTTCATTTGTGAAATGATCAACTACGATATCCAATCTGCTATTTATTGTACATTGGTCATTCACATGGGTGGATGTAAAAAGTGGGTATATTGGTAATTAACTCAAGAATTACGCTCTTGGAAATAAATATATTTCACTCTTACAAAAATGCACACTTGTTATTTGACAATTCGCATATAAAACACCAACTCATCACAACAACAAATACATAACAAGCAAAGCAAGCAACATTATTTATTATTTTGTATTATTATTGCATGTCTAATGAAATTTTGTATGGTGTAATAACAAGATGTTGATTAAAATTCTTTTCCTTCATACCAACTTTTCCCAGTTGAAAAGATGAAGCATGATTGATGTGATCGTAGCTAGATTTATCTTCACAATCAATAATGCAAGACACCGAGTTATCACCACATGATTTACTTAAGGCCATATCATTATCATTAGATGATTTTTCCCCCTTCATTACCTCACTTCTTGAGTATATATCGCCTCCTTCCACAGAAAAGTGAGGAACATCAACTCCAAGAGCCTTATAAGCTGAAAAAGCAGCAGCCCTTGCTTCATCAGCTTTTTCAAGGACAATTTTGCGGGCCCCATTCATTATCTTTTTAGCCACTCCCAGTTGAATAAGCCTTTGTGCCAACTTATCTGAAGGTTCAAAAATGGCTTTAACAACTTCAGGTATGGATGCTTCAGCAATTGCTTGGGGTGTACGCAATCCAGCTTTATAAAGTGCCCTTGCTCTAAAACCCTACAAAACATTCGTACAATCATATTAATAAACAAATAAAAAGTAATTTCAAATCAAACTTAGAAAAAAAAAAAAAAAGTAAAAAGAATCCAAACCTTGACAAATGGAATGGTTGTAAGCTCAGCAATCTCAGCTTTTACACCAAATGAGACACGATTTTGGAACTTGGAAATCAAGTTTTCTAAATCATGCCAACCAAGTCTTTCACAAAAGACTGAAACCATAGATGCAAATCTTCCAGCATTTTCTTGCAATGATTGAACCATTCCACGTGCCACCTTGAAACCTTCACAAACCTCCATCACAGGTGCTTCCTTCATAATTCATATTCATTCAAAAACAGTGCAAAAAAGATGAATGAAAAATGAAAAAGAATCAAGAATCAAGATGCAAGATTGTGTTGAGAAGATGATTAGCAATTTAGCATTAGAAACCTGTATGAGTCTTGACAAGATGAGTGCAACATAGAATCTCTTACACACACGAAGCATTTGATCATCTGTAAGGATGTTATTGGTTGACACTGACACCCCAAGTCCTTTCAAATCATGCCTTGATCTTTCTGAAGTGCGGATTGTAGCTCCATGAGCCATTCTCCTCAAAAATGCTTCTTGCACTCCAACACGGTTTCCAACACACTGCAACAAGGACAAGGGCCCACCCGTTATATAAATCTCACCCAAAAACACATAAAAAACAACAAGCTTACTTGATCAAGAACAGGGAGCTGCATGAATCTTTCATAGTACAATTCCCAATCTGGCTCAACATCAACATTAGTTGGTGTTACCAAGTATAACAAGTGTAAATCTGATGAGAGTACAAATCCTGCTCTCGCCCTTGAAAGGTCATCCAAAACAATCTGCAAACAATATATAATATTTTTTAATTAATAGATGTTCGAGTTAAATAAGAGAAATGTATATTTTTTGTCAGAATGCGTTGCATACAAGTGACTCCTCAGGACAAAGAGAGCTGCCAAAAGAAGCAAAGCCAAGAGGTGTGGAACTGTATAACTTAGTATCTTCACTCCATTCAAGAAACTTTCTATGACAAAGCCACTTGAGAGAATCTTTTGCTGATTTTACAACATCTTCAAATGGTTGTGTTGAATTCAGAAGAGTGCATTTAACATATCGATGGATATCATTAGCAGTTTGAACAATTCCACCAGCAACACCTTCCAAAATGGCATGTGTCATTCCATTCTTGTCTTCTGACAAACAAGAACGCAATGGTGGACACGACTCATGAATCACTTCCATAATTTTTTTCACTTCTTCAGGTTTGCATATTAACACCTAATTTCACAAACACACGAGTAAGCAGCAAGTAGTAACATGCTTGTAAGTACAAAAAGTCAAAAAGTCAACATACACTTTCTCCTTTCGTATCGATTCCGGTGCGACCCGCCCGCCCGGACATTTGTCTGTATCTTGTCCCATCTAAAAAATCACGACCAATACGAGGTTGTCTGAAGATAACTCTTCTTGCAGGAAGATTCACTCCAGCTGCTAATGTTGATGTGGCAGTTAACACACGTACTAGACCTTTACGATAGCAGTTTTCAACAATTTCTCTTTCTTCAATCTGTAAGTAATAATCAGAAATGAAATTTCTCAAAAGCTTCAAAATCTAACCTAAGTAATAATGGGAAAAAGAGTGTATACATACTGTGAGACCAGCATGGTGATAGGCAACACCTGAAGAAAGTGTTTCAGATAACACAGGATCTAATCCAGCTGGAGATTTTTTCAATGCATCAATGGCAGAAGCAATATCAGGATATTCACTTTCACCATTGAAGGTGTTGAAAGGGAATTGCTTAAGGTACTTTGCAACATGTCTAGCAGTTGACTCACATCCTTTACGACTTGAACAAAAGATCAACACTGAATGACCCTCTTGGACAACCTAAATACAATATGCAATGTATAAAGTATAAACATTCAGTTCAGGTTCATAACTTATAAGAATTTATATATATCAAACAATGTACCTCATTGCATAATTCTATGATATGATCAGGATCTTTACCACCAAGATCAGATCTTTTTGAGATTGTTTTGACAAGATCCATCTTTTTGTTATAAATTGAGTTTCCAACTTTGATATACTCCTCAAGTGGAACAGGTCGGAAATCTGTCTGGTATAAAGCTGCCTGAAAAACTAATTTTATTTCAATAACAAGATATAAAGCATTCAACCACTTAATAAGGTAGTGTTTTCAGATTCTTGATATGCATCATGACCAATGTTTTCTACAACTTACTTGAAGCCAATCAGCAACAGCACTGACATTGGGCAAGGTGGCACTCATCCCAATAATTTGAAGATCATGAGTGGGGTCACCAGCTCCATACCGAAGTTTTGTCAGCATAAGTTCCAAGAGATAGCCCCTGTGCTGATCTCCAACCTGCCAAACAAATTGATTAAAAGAATGTATTTTTTGCATCATAATGTTCGAAGATACCAAATTCAAAGTACCATGTGAAGTTCATCAATTACTATGATCCCAACTTCTGACAAACGCCTCTCTTCCAACAATCTGTTGAGTAGGGAATTTGCCTTCTCGATTGTGCAAACAGCTACAGAGGTATCTTTAGGAAGTGTGCCACCACTTTGGCTTCCATAATAACTACAAACACGTGCACCAATTGGTTCAAGTAAGGCTTCAAGATGTGCTGTCTGCATCACTTAAAGACTAATAATCAAGTTTAAGGACATACATACAACTCTTAACAAATACAATGCACAAGTAAGCCAATAGTCGCACCTTCTCTGTACAAATTGACACATAAGGAAGAACAAGAATTGCCACTTTTCTTGTTGACAGCACTCTACGTAACATCAAGATTTCTGCAACAAAACTTTTCCCAGCACTATGCCAAAAAAATGGTTATGAAAAAGTGTTTAAGTAGAAAAGATTTAGCACGAATCTTAAGATAAGTACCTTGTAGATGCACAATACACAAGGTTCCTTTTTTGTAACACCCCATCCACTTGAAGGCAGTCCACCTGGAAAAAGAAGACTGAATTGAACTTTGAAGTAAATGACTATAATATCAGGACTTAGGTGATTCAGGTTCTCGTTGTGTAACAGAGGCAAACACCTTGTTATATTCCTTCAAGGAGTAATAACATAAGCAGAAAAGGGTGATCAAAAGGACTAGGAAATTACCTGCCAAGGATACAGTTTTGATATACCCTTTCTCTTATATGTATTGCATAACTCTGAAGGGAGCCAATTCCCAATATCCAAACAATCATTAGAAGTCACGCAGCTTGATGAGGTACTTTCTACACTTTTAAGAATGTTCACATTACAAGTTCTGATGTCTGTACTTGGTGTATTAGATGTTCTGTTATGATTAGGTTGATTCAATACATCATTTTCAGATCCTTTGGATTCTTCAACAACCTTTTCAGGAAGATCTTCATTATGATAGGACATATCATCAACCACCTGGATTGCCTCTTTCCAGAACGCGTCTCCTGGTGAAAAAATGGAGCTTCCATGCATTGACTGAGGAGTTTTTTCAGCTCCAACTTTGACTTCTGACAGGTTTGGTGTATTGCATGATGTCACATCAACAGCTTCCATAGATGTTCTAATGCATTTCCTCAAGCTCAATTCATGCACGGAATTGTTACCACCAACATTAGTCTGCAAGATAAGGAAACCACATTATTCAAAGAAAGTGTAGTGAAGCTGCAAAATAGTTGTTATGACATGGTCTACCTCTTTGGAATTGTGAGACAATTCTCCGTATTTAGAGATATGGTCAGATGAACGAAAACTACTTAAAGGCCTCTTCTTGATCGATTTGTCTTCCAAATCTAGCACAGATGGACTCCCCTGTCTGTTATTTGAAGAATTACACTGCAGACCTCCAACATGTTCATTTCTTAAAGAGGATTCTATCTCTGATATCAGGTTTCTTCTTACTTGATCTTGCCTATGACAACCATTTTCATTTTGTGAAACCGCTAGATATCTGGATGAAGAAAGCTTATCCCTAGGAGACCCTTCAAATGAAAGTTTTGATTGTTGTTCAAGTTCAACTAACCCTGGTTTTAAAAGAGGTGATACAAACTTATGCTTCTTCTTTGAACAGTAGAACTGCACATAGTAATAAATTCAGCAGCACATGCCAAAAATTGGACGTTAGGGAAATCAAAGAAAAGTGTATTCTTCCTTTTTAATGTACTAATATGCACATAAACTGAAATTGAAAAGCAGACAGCTTAAATAAAGATGGCTATGAATCATGCTCAAAGTCCACTATATATAACTTATACAAACAGATGCCTCAAAGTTCAATACAGAATGAAACTATAAGAAGAAAAAAGGTCACTGAGCTGAAATGGTGTGCCAGGTGTACAAAAAATGTTGAAACCAACACATGCAACTTTTTGCTTATAAAATATAACTATGTACAATACATGTAAAAAAAAATGTGTACTCGCGAGGTAGAGCAAATAGAGGCAAAACCAACAAAGTGCATACTTTGGTGTTGTCAACAAAACCAGGAATTGGCTATCAAACCTTTTGTCAAGTTCGGGGTTTTAGAAAAAGAAATACCAATTATGAAGTAAGCTGATTTCTTCTTTTACTTTTATGAACAGCTAATCAAAACTATTAAGTGACTATCTATACAGCCCCCATTCTGCATAAGTAAAGCACACCAAGCTTTAGTTTCCATGGTTCTGTTACTTCTGTAGAACAGGGAAAAACCATGGTCGATAGATTCAGCTGCTGATATGGACTGGTGTGCTTCTGTTTGGAGATACATGTTGTGTTGCATAGATAATTTTAAATTAATATGAGCATACTGCGTACCAAGCTTAAAATTCTCAATATTCACTGGCGAAAGGGCAATAAAGATAAGAGCAAATCTGAATAGCTCGCATTTTCAAAATTGGATGAAACAAAATCAATCTTCTAACAGGGCTATAAACTTTTTAACTTATGAAATTTAAATTACCCAGAAGATCCATTCTAAATTTAACCTAATTGCTGCGGATATTAGTTGTCGTTAGTGTGTTGGACTGCCATCGAATATTTCATAGAAAATATGGCTTTGGGGAGATTGACGATTGGGGGAGAGCGATTAAAACAAACCTGATCAACGCGGGAGCATGAGGCACCTGACGCCATTTTTGCAAGATTTTGGAGAGAAATTCAGGCGACTGAGCGTCTGAGCCCTAGTTCATTTGTATGCCATCGTCGAACAGTTCAAATGATTCATTTGAATCTCAAATGAAGACCGCCAATTCTTGCATTTTGCTCCAGCCTCCAACTATCTCCGCGTTGCATTGTATAAATTATAAAACTCCTCTGACGCTTCTCTGGTTTAACAAAAGAAAAAGAAAAATAAGAGAAATGAAAAGAAAAATAAAATTTTATTTAGTATTTCGAATTGGAAAGAAATATAAGGAAATGAATCATTTTGTTTTTTCTTTTTAAATCCTTCTAAATCGGAAGAAAAGTTAGGAGGGAAAGTAATCCTCTCATTTCTTTAAATCCTTCTAAATCGGAAGAAAAGTTAGGAGAGAAATTAATCGTCTCATTTCTTTCCACTTCCTTCCGCTTCCCTTCTTTAATGAAACTCGGAAACACAAATTTTTTTTATTTTCTTCTAATTTCCACTCATTTCCTTTACTTTCTCTCATTAAGTTCAACTCGGGAGCGGGGTGTAAGGTTTGTTTTTTTTTAATTACATGTTTGTACAGTTATGAGTGCTTATGTGGACCCCCTCCCGTTTGGAGTATTTATTAAAATTATTAGGGGCTGGGACGGGGTGGACAGTACCACCTCGAAACCTCCATGGAGCCTACGTTAATATATATATATATATATATATATATATATATATATATATATATATATATATATATATATATATATATATATATCAACAAAAGAAATATGTTTTTAAGTTGTTAATATAATCTTTATAAGATTTCATAACCTTTTTTATTTAACATTTAAAATTCTGATATAAATAATTATTCGTTACATAAAAATGATTTTTTAGCCCAAATAAAGATAAAAAATGTTTTTTTAGCCCAAATAACAATTTCTTTTAGCCCAAAATCAATTGGAGGGCGGGGGAATGGGGTATGAAGGGGATTCGGGGGTAGGGGTGGGGTAGGAAGGATGGACATTTCGGGAGCGGAGGCGGAAGCAGGGGAACAGGGAAATTTCGGGGGAGGGGGGATGCACTATCTGTCCCGTTATCCCCCATTGACATTCCTATGTATAGTTTGGTGCATGGCACTCAACACAACAAAACAAAACTAAATCAATTTTGTTTGCGTTTAGCAAAAAAAATGGACCTAGGGACTAAACTTCTAATGTTTATTTTTTGTCTCATCCAAAATGATGGAACAAGGTGGGACAAGAAAATTAAAGACCAAAATACCCTTGTAGTCCATGTTCATACCGAATTAATGACTCAGGAGGGTAATAAGGTTTTAATTTTGTCCACATTAAGTCCTTAAGGTTTTTTTATAAATATTACACCAACATGTTTGATATAACCATTTAAAGAGAGTAATAAGGTTTTAATTTTGTCCACATTATGTCCCTAAGGTTTTTTTATATATATATTACACCAATATGGTTATTATAAACGTTTAAAGAGAGTAATAAGGTTTTAATTTTATCCACATTAGGTCCCTGTTTTTAAATAGATTAGGTCCCTGTTTTATCATTTCATCTAACTCTTTTACGATTTATATTACTATCTAGTTAGATGTCTTTATCATTTTGTTTTCTCATCTTAGTCGTTCATTCACCACAACCAATGGTTTCAATTGAAATGACCAAATATGTTTCACGTCATGACCATTCCTCCAATACGCGTTCTCATTCTTCACCCGTCACGTCGTAACCTACTGATCACATTATGACTCATGGTTTTTCTCCAGAACCATGCTTTTGACTATTCACTTCCCTAAACTAATTCAATCCAGGAAACAGGTGTTCTAGTGGCTAACTGGAGATCTAAAGTTGATGTTTTAAAAGCTTCACAAAGCGAGTATCAAAGGTTAATTAATCAGAAAACTTTTCCTCATCAACAAGCTTGGGAGTGGTTGAAAGACCACACGAAATGGGTGTTGGTTACAAAAGTTGGTGAAGACTCCCTCGCCTCCTTCTTCAAAACAATCCAAAACATATTCATCCAACGTCTACACAACATCTTATGATGCATAGTATCCTCCCGGATTCCCCGAATAACAACAATCATTTAATGTTGAAGACGCTCTGCCTCATATGAAAAGAAAAGGAAAGAAAGTTTCAACGACATTGTCCACACAAAATGAAATATTTAATCTCGTCAAGCAAATTGTCGGCATCAACACTACAACCAACACAGATGCATACCAGAGACAACAATATCGGGAAAAAAAATTATGCATTTTTGAAGCTAATGAAGAACGGAAAGCTCAACTGTTAGAGTAGGAGATTGAAAACCTGACTGCATGATCATTTAACTGTTGCTATTTTGTGTATGGTGCTTGAAAGGAAACAGCAAATTGCAACTAAATATGGTTAGGAGTTTTAGAAACCGTGAAGTTCAGAATGCTGACATCATGTGATTGTAGAATCTTTTTCTTTTTTTGTTATTCTTTTTTATTCTTATTCTTTCTATTTTTCTTATTATTTTTTATTAAGATTTTCTATATGTACGTTTGTTTCATTATATATATATATATATATATATATATATATATATGTGTGTGTGTGTGTGTGTGTTTATTTGTTTGTTTCATTTTCTCTCTATCATTTCTCTCTTTTTCAACATGAATCCAAATGTTCGGAAAATAATAATGGAAGGTAACGACAATAATTCATCACCTGAGGATGTTGTATCAGATGATTACACCTTAGCAAGCACAACAATACTATTGGTGACAATAATGATTACACCTTGGCAAGCACGACAATATTATTAGTGACAATAATCTTGGAGGTAACTGAGGCTTTTAAGGACATGGTTCTAGAAATGAATTTTGGAGATGATCATTTGAGAAATGTAGAGTTATGGAATAGTGTTGCCTGCACCACTAGAGCTTGCCAATGATGCACTTTGAATGTCATGTCCGAAAGCATAAAGAATCATGATGATTAGGTCAAGGTAAAATAAAATCGCTTTAAGGAATTTTTATCGAGTGGAGTGGATAGGGAAAGAGGTGGGGGAAGGAGAAATATAAGGATGCCAAACAAGAGGTGAACAAAGCGTTAAACACAAAGTCTCTGCCATATGAAGAGATGTACATAAGATTGGACACAAAAGTCAGAAACAAAGAAAAAGGAATATAGGAAATGCAAGGTATATTAAGGATGACAACGATTGTGTTGTAGTGAAAGATAAGGATATTAAGATGAAGTTGGTTAAGTTACTTTTTGTCTTTTACATACCAAGGCAACTTTGTTTGGTGAGGGATAAGAATGTAGATTGCATTAAAGAGGCTAAAAGTTAATGTTTCTGCATGCATGAAGATTAAAAGTGAGCAAGTGAAAAGAGTAGTAAGGATGATGAGGGACATAGCCATAGGTCTAGACTAAATCCCTAACGGGGAGTGGTTGTGTCGTGGGGAGGAGGGTGTTTGGTGACAAACCTCTTCACATTATTTTAATGACGACAAAAATGCAAAGGAGTGGAGAGATAGATCACTGTGATTCATATATAATGATATATAGGAATAAAGGAAATGCCTACAGTTACGACAACTATCAAAGTATAAAGCTTCTTAGTCATACCCTGAAACTATAGGAGAGAGTGTTGGAAGTTAAGTTGCCACAAAAAACAACCGCATAAAAAATTAAATTGACTTCTTGCTAGGGAGGTCGATGACTCTACCTCCTTAGCCGCCACCTTATGGATAAAAATAGTGGAAGAAATAGGGATCTTCATATGATGTTTTATCGACCTGGAAACATCGTATCATAGTGTCACTATAAGGATCTAACCCTGACGACACTTATCCAGACGACATATGTCGTTGACAAAAGTCGATCTATAGAGACGACATGTCGTCTGGGCAGCGTTTTCAAACATTGACCATATGTCTTTGACCAGAAAAGCTATACATACGACAAATCGTCTGCATAGGCTCGACGGGAAGGGGCAAAATGTTGGCGGTATATCGAATTTCTATACCGACGACATGTCATAAGGAGGAGGAATTAAAAAAATATATTCGATTTATTTTAATTCTTTGTCGCAGAAAAGCAATGCGATGCCGTTTTGGTCAACCTATGCAGACGACATGTTGTCGGTATAAGGTGCTTAAAATTTAATTTTGATTTATTTTTTATCCTTCTTGCAGAAATAGAAGAAATCTTTTTCTTATTTCCTCGAAAATCAATCGCGACGATCCTTTGCTGACGACGTGTCATGTCATGTGTACTGGCTATGCTATACTGACGACTCATGTCACGACTACATTTTCGACTTTTACCGACGGACCTATACTGACAACTTTTTACAGACCACATGTCATCGGTATAAGCTTTACCGACGAAAATTCGTATGGACAGAGTCCATAATTATCGTGTGCATAGGGCTCGATCCTTGTAGTGTGTGCCATGAGAGGTGATTTGGAGAACTTTGTAAGCTAGAAGGGGATATGCGATAAGCGTTGATCTCTCTATGACATGTATCTAAACCCTAGTTGGTGGCAGTTTTTCCATTAGAATTTAGGCTTCATGCTCTTAGCCTACAAATCTTTGTTTTGATTATAGACGACGTTCCTCATGAGATACTAGGAGGGTGCCATGATGTATGTTTTTTTTTTGCTGACTGTATTTTGTTGGTGGCAAAGATTAGGATTGAACTAAAGGCTAGGTTAGATGCTTGGAGAAAAGGACTGCATTTCAACACAATTAGAGTGACATGGTAGTGATGTAGATTACCGAAAATCCCAAAAGATATTAAGAGTAACGTGGAAGTCTTAATAATAAAATACTAGTTACAATCAATAACTACTTACATCATTGGTGTTAGTGGCGAATCTAGGATTAAAATTCTCACGTGTCCCAACCCAAATAGAGTACACAAAAAACGAGTTAAAATTTAATTTTTATTGGGTCAAATTTTCAATAATACAATCTAAACCAAAATACTATTAAATTTAATACCAAAGATCCACTGCAGTTCTAAAAATACTAGTTAATATCTTAAAATCGTTCACGACGAGGTTTCATATTTCTAAAATAATTTATAATTGCATCGTTGCTAATACTATCTAACACATCTTTCTCAACATATGACACTAGACAATCATTCATAAATTGATCACTCATCTTATTGTGTAAATCGTTCTTTATCAACTTCATTGCTGAAAATGCTCATTCCACGGTGGATGTTGCAACTGGCAAAATTAATGCTA